GGATTCGAACATGGAGCCTCTGGCTGACAAGACGATTATCATGCCTTTAGGCCAGTTTAGAGTATAGGCGCAGTTCTAAATTCAGGTCCTTTTTTTAACTGATTTATAATATAAGTATACCGGTACTGTATTTGTATGCTGTTCCAAACGTTCATCATTTTTATGTATTGGTCTACGTCATTTTACTGTTTTTTTGTATTGTAGGCCTACGTGTTTATCCTATACTGTGCTTTAGTGTACTGGTACGAATGTACTGTGTTGTTTGAATGTTTTTATTGTGAACGCACCACTTGATAGTTTGTGCCACTGATATAAAATTCGTCGCTCACATCACGAACTAACACAATTAAATTCAATTGTGTTAGTTCGTGAAATCAAAAAAGCTCGTCAAAATACGCGCTGTTGTTGTTAAGGATTTTTTGTGTGGTAAAGAATACAAAATTGCTTGATAACCAATACGCGATCGTTTTGACGCGCTACTGTGATTTCACGAACTAACACAATCTACTTTGATTGTGTTAGTTCGTGATGTGAGCGACGAATTGTACGATTCAATAAAGTTATTATTATTACGTGTCAGCTCTTGTCCGTGAACACGGTAGACTATCAAATTTTCATTGACCAAAAACTGCTGTATGCCCATATATAGTCATGATGTGCCTATATATGGGCAGGATATGATGTCTTGATGACCATATTTAGGCATTCATCGTAGTCTAACTGGCTTCTGACTACCTCGTCGCTCACATCACGAACTAACACAATTAAATTCAATTGTGTTAGTTCGTGAAATCAAAAAAGCTCGTCAAAATACGCGTTATTGTCGTTAAGGACTTTTTGTGTGGTAAAGAATACAAAATTGCTTGACAACCAATACGCGCTCGTTTTGACGCGCTACTGTGATTTCACGAACTAACACAATCTACTTTGATTGTGTTAGTTCGTGATGTGAGCGACGACCTTTTCAAGACAGTAGTCAGCTACCTCTACCTTTTGAGGCTGCGTAAGATCATGAAATATAGTGAATCTACCAACAGGACACGTCCACTGCTAAACACACGGACACCTGTCGCTCAAATGAATAAGTGAGAGAACAAAAATGATATCGATCTAGAAAATTATTTTTGGAAGTTCGTCACTAAAATGACAGTCATTAATAATACTCATTCGAATTATTGTTTTTATAAAATTACTTCCGGAAAGAAACAGCAAGTGGTTATTTTCATTTTATGACGCCACTAACGTCTGCGTTATTTTTTATTAGAAATTATTCCTGATGAGGTTTGTCGATGACAGTGGAGCTCAGGCGGCGGTGGCGTCTCCACATAGACCACCTCCACAACATTCTAAAACACATTTGTGTTAATAACAAAACCATGGGAACATATTATACCAACTCATTTTTGTGTTTATAATACCCGACATTTGAACGACAAATAAAATTAATATTCAATTGGGCAAATAGACGTCTGACAGAGATGACAAATTCCAGCATTTCTAAGCCTAACTGTAACATTTATTAGTTCTAGCTTTCGTCCACACGGTGGACTTCATTAGGAGGATAACAGTCAGGATGAAGTCCACTGTGTCAAGGCGCCTAGAGCTAATATTAATGATATTGTTAGTCTTTAAAGTGCTGAGATTGTTCTATAACTGACGTAATGCGGCTACACCTTTTTATGATTCATGTTAATAATAATAAAAGGTGTTGAAACTGCGGTGTATAATGAACATTATGCTATATAGCCTAATAAATTAATTGTTCTTTTTACCGTTTTCGTATTGAAGGGTTATTTCATACACATCGTATATCCATGATTACTACGCCGATTTGTTACTGATAGGCCTGTAATAACGTTTGACAGTGTGGATCTGTGTGTGACGTTCTGTGCTCTAAATTTGGCTCTGTATATTTATTGTATTAACACGAATAGCTGAGCTGATAAAGTAAAGGCCTAGATTCGGCCTAATAAGACTGATCATTGGAGAGATATTGTAGATAATTTGTAATAATTTTAGTCAACATTGCGGTGTTGCCTGGGACTACTATTTATAGGGAAAATAACATTTTCCTAGACCATGTGTTAATTAATCAATGCCGTAGCCAGGGACAGTTGGGATAGTCCCACACAAATTTTCTAATGGGTCCACACAGAATTGGTCCACATTTTTAAAAATGAGTCCAAAATTATGTAATTTTATGCATAAAATGGGTACACTTTTTGAAAAATGGGTCCATCGATTTCTCATATTTAGCTTAAAATGGGTAAAATTTAAGAAAATGGGTGCAGAGTTTTCATATTTTTGAGTAAAATGGGTCCACAATGTTTGAATTTACGAGTGAAGTTGGTCCACCCTGATATTGTCCCGCACTGCCTGGCTACGGAATTGTACTTAATGTAGTCTATAGCAATTTTGGAGAAAGCAGTCATGCTTTGAAAACGTACTTAGCGTTTCCAACGTGATTGACTGTGATGCAGCATGTAATGTAGACTGACGCTCACGCACGCGTATTGTGACGTGAGCATTTGCGACATGATTTCCAATGATCCGTTCATTACAGCACTGCTCTATGGTGCTAACGTACGACGCATGTGTTTGTAAGGCATGCGCGTATTCTTGTCTCGTTTATGATTGGTCAGTTTTTTAATTTGATTGGCAGTAAAATAGTAAATTTTGGAGGTTTTCGGCCAAATTATAGGCTGCAGCATTTAATAGATGCAAATGAATATTTGACAGATAAGAATGTAAAAAAAAAAAAGATTTACATGTATCTCGATTTCAATGCGACGAAGTCATTTATCTTGCACATGCTTAGACCATGCTCAGACCATGAGCATAAAAACTAAACCAGATAAGGAATTTCGATGACTGACACATGCTTAAAGCCCAATGATTGATTTATTATTTAAATCATCCTTAGGCCGTTGGCTTAAATCGCCGACGAATTCAAGGAATACACGACTCTAGAATTTTTGCTTCATACCTAGAGTGAGTGATTTAGATTATTAGATTAGGTGATAGGCCTACACTTATTCATTTAATCCATTACTTCATCAGATTTACCTCCAACGTTATTTTTAAACGTGACTTTTTCAGTGACTTCATGACTCCGTCGAGCCTATACCAAGCTAGCTTAATATGGCCTAGCACTATTATCAATTTCCATTGCGCATTCTCTCGTGTAGGCCTACGTTGCTTTTCAGTCTTGACTAAATTGATCAATTCAAACAATTAAATTTATAGTATTTATTGAACCAAGAAAAATGAAAATTAGAGCATTTTTAAATGCATGACTGTTTAGAAACCCCAAAACAATGTCAATAGTGAGGTAAGGCGTTGGTTCGTTGTTACTGACTACACACATCTAGTAAATTCGCTCATCCACCCACACTTTTCCATCTAGGAAGCGAAATTCATACCAAGGGCCAAAATCCCTGTTGTCTGAGAGCCGGATTTAACGTTACGAATTTACATGACCGAAATTACAGGGCCGTAGCACGGTTGGTCAGGTTTCAACCTGACCACTTTTTGACAGACCACAAGTAATTACTTAGGTTTTGAATAGGGAAAAAATGGGCTAAATTCCATCTGTATGTTTAGACTCAATCTACTCTCTCTTTGACATAACTCAGGAACCGTTAATGATATTTTACATTATTTTCTTCTCTTTAGTGTAAAATTTATGAGTGATTAAGAAACTAGGATGCATTTTTTCTTCAGTTGAAATTTAGTGTCTAGTGGGCTTACCTTTTATCCAAATCAAGTAGGTCAATTACTACACATAGTGAGCTTTTGCAGAAAATCAGACTAAAGTTTCCATTCACTAGCTTGCCTGGACATATATCCACTTCTTCACTAAATTACCAAGCCAAGACAAAAAAACATGCCTTTAGCTGTACATTTATTCCTGATA